AAAAAATTATTAGACGATAGAGTGAACTTGGATCAGAAATGACATGACTTCGTCCAAGTCCGGACTTATAATAATTTGCTCCGGCCTCTTGAGAAAGATAAAATGTCACTATTGCGTGGTGGGAGTGGAGGAATAGCAGAGGCACTGAAAACGACTATGAAAGATTGATTTCTTCATATATAACCATCAGGTTGGAAGAAGACGGCCTAATGAACGTGAAGAGAGAATAACGCAGAGTCCTAAAAGAAACTTTGCCGAGAAACATTGTGCCAACTCTCGATATAAGAACGACTAGAAAGGGTGGCTTCTAAACGCAGACGATAATGTTTAAACTTCGTTACTTGCCATGATCATTAAATGGATAATTCATAAACCTTTTTCTCTCGATTCTCTTCAGTTGCCAATTTTAAGGTGTTGTCTTGGCTTTTCACTGATACTAGAAGAAATGCGGTGCTTAAAGACAGCTAGAGAGTATCTATGTTCCATGCCTATTCAGAATACACTCGTTCATGGCTCTCCACATCTTCGTCTTTTGTTACTCTCAGTAATGCTTGTTCTTTTTTTACCACTTGTTGTCTTTGTGGTACATGTTTCTCCACCCATTTCTACAAATTTATCAAGTAGCTGACTTGATACTTTCCTCTGTTTCTCTTACATTCGATATTTCCTGTGAGTGTTAAATTCTCTGAGCTTTCTTTCCTCATTATATGGGAATTACAGATCTAATGAAATCAATGACTTACTAGTTGGCTTCAAAAAAGACACAGATTAGACTGGGCATGGTTTGACAACTACAATTTTTTTTTAAATAATTTTAAAAATAAATGATAAAAATAAAATAAAAGATAAAAATTAATTAAAAAAATAAACACTCCTGAGAAAGAAATGTTGCTTTTATCTCAGACGTATATTCAAGCGTTTGTTTTATGCTTCTGTATAAAAAGGGGACGCTAAACAGGAAGGATGAGTATCAGTTTACCTGGGTATCAGTTTACCTGGGTATCAGTTTACCGGGGTATCAGTTTACCGGGGTTTCAGTTTACCTGCGATGAGAGAATACTAAAACTGATTGCAGAAGAATGATCTGTCCTACAATGACAGAATAACAACATCCTAGTGGATTCGAGCCTTTGTCCATTAATTTGGTGACATAGTAATTGTGAGTTCAATCCTTGGTCCGGGCAGTGTGTACTTGGATCCAGTGGGAAAGGGGCGAGCAATAACTGAGCAGTGCTAAAAAAATAAGAACTAGACAAGATATCCCGAGGCGTGGGCAGTGGAAACGAGAACAGTCTAACCCTGTAGATTAAATAAACGAAATTCCCTTTGGGTTGACGAAATGAGAACCCAGTGAAGGCCGGAAAGCCCAATGGCCGAAACATTGTGATAACAGCAAAAATCATAATAATAGTCCGCGTGTAAATAATGTAAATAATAAAAGAATAACCATTCAAAAGTTTAAAGAATAACAAGTCGAACGCTGAAAAAAAAACATACATCTAGAACGTAATAGATTGTAATCAATGGTCTCTTTGTAATCCTTACTCTTCTTAGGACTTCCTCATTTGTCGCATGCTCTATCCATAGCTTACTTAACACGCGTCGATAGAACCACATCACTGTCACTTCTAAGCCGACTCATTTAAAGCGTTTTCTAATGAGTGATATGTAATAATTTGTCACGATAGGTCTCCGATCGTTTAGTTCAGGGCACACACGTAGTAGTAAATGATTTTATCCGGGTCTGGTTTTATGACAACCGACAATTAAATCGAGAGCTAATAACTTCAAAGCAACCACTCACGGTCAAGACGTATGAATAAGGAAATAAAATAAATAAAAGAAAACTTTCGAGGTCAAGTGCCACTCGGTCGGAAAGTAGGGAATTCCGGTCGTAGGTCGTATGTAGTCAGGCTGCACTTTAGAATGGTTAGTTAGAAGTGGTCCGTGAGTTGGTAACATGTCCGATGAAATTTAGCGATGGGCAGAGACGCAAAGATAGGTAAAGAGCCACTCGATATTCTTGCTGGTCAAAGCGAAAATATCCCGAGAATCTCTTCCCTACCCGCTAGACCGGGTTGAGTGAATCCGTGAATAAAGAACCGAGTATAATAAAAACAGGACTTGTGTTCATTTTTTTCCTTCCTTGGCCATATTTTCACTTTCCGTTCCCTTCCCAGCTCTTGTTCACACCGACGTAAACGAGGATCGAAACCACATGGTGGTCGGTGACTAGTTGTTGAAAAGACTAACCGAAAGTCGCGGTTGTATCTTTGCAATAAAACAAAATAGATGGCGTGTGTAAGTGTGTACGTATATGCGTACGTGAGTGCGTAGGTACGTTACTATAAATAGGTACATGGCTAAGTAAGTATGTGCATGCGTGCTTTTTGTGATGTCGATAGATGTCAATGTGCATTTGCATTCGTCTACGTTGTAGCAAGAAAAAAGGCAAGAATACGCGGAAGTTCTTCTTCCTTGAGAAATGTGCAGATCTAACCTTCCGCGAGCTGTCCGAGTGGTTTTAGGCTCAGAAAGACGTCGTCTGTTTTCAGTGTGAATGTGACATTGGCTTACCTTACCGAGCTTCTTACTGTAGCATGACGCCAGAACAGATGTTGCACTCAAATTCGACACCAGACCAATAGAAACATGGGTGTGTGAGGGCATTGACCGGAAGTCACTCCCGGCTACCGAAATAAGGAAACACGTGACCTCACACCTGCATCTGGTATTGCAATCGTCCGAACGATTAGTGATATACATGTTTTATATAAACAACCGCCCACTAAGTTATAATATTCAATCAGAGTATCCGCGTTGATCCTAACCCCGCACGAAAATTGAATGTCAACATAATTTATTCGAAATATTGCTCTCATCTTGATCATATGTTTTTTTATAGACACAACGTTTCGTTTTAAGTGACTTTTTCAGGTGTCTATTTTTGGGGTTTGATACATAATATCCGTTGATTATTGCGTAAATTACGACCTTGATATGCCAATACTTGTTCGTTCCTGTCATAAACATCATGATAACCAAATGTCAAAACTATTTGACATTGTATTTAAAAAGAGACACCGAAAATACACCAACGAATGCACTTTGGGATAATGGTGTAGGAAATATAGTCGTTAGCCGTTAGTTGTCATGAGCTGTCATGACTGGGATTAGGTAATGAAGCGTTATATACTGGTTTAGAATAAGAATTTGTGTCACGGGGACAAGATATCACAGAGTAGCGAAAAGAAAATGGACGCCTGAAGATGATTAGAGGGTATTTTGAAGAAACGTTGTATTTGTAATGGCATCTTACTTAATATAAAACGCAGAGTGTGTGTGTGTGTGTGTGTGTGTGTGTGTGTGTGTGTGTGTGTGTGTGTGTGTGTACGTTTATATATTGGATCGGATTTCCTACATTTTTCAACCGATTTCAACAAAACTTCACAGGACTACGTAAATTTACCTTGCGGTGGTTCTGACAGCGCCAAAGAATTGGAAAAACACAATTGTTTTTGCACGAAATCAATTTGAAAACACGATAAAATACGATTCTGTCGCCAGAATGAAAGAGGGACAACTCATCTCGAGTTATACTTATTATAAAACCCAGGTTGTGTGTGTGTGTGTGTGTGTGTGTGTGTGTGTGTGTGTGTGTGTGTGTGTGTGTGTTCGTTTATATATGGGATCGGATTTCCTACATTTTTCAACCGATTTCAACAAAACTTCACTTTTTTTTGGCACGTAGTGTTTCTTATTGTCTTGCACACTTTTTTCTTTATTTTTACATTCAGAATGCTTTAAAAATTCCATTTACAAGGCAATTTTTTATAATAAAATTCTATTCAAAGGGTAAACTCATAACGATTGAAAACAATGTTTTTGTTTGAGTTTGGATTTGACCAATTCGTAAAAAAAAAAAAAAAACTAATTAAGACATGCGTGTCGGTCAACCTTAAACAATAATCTTTGTCAATTTTATTTTTCAGTCTTTATGATGGTCGATACTTGATCTATCTCTTACTGTTACATCCCCGGGCAACGCCGGGCTCTACTGCTAGTCTACAATAAGAAAGATGTGGTTATAGTTTGAATAAATTAAAACATACTGATATTCAACTTTGGCATGGAATAATTATTATCCATGTTGAACATTGTTAATTATTTCGGTTTTAACTGGCTACAGTAAACCTAAATAAATTTACAAACATTTCTGCGGTGAATAATCGAGTAACTTGTCAGCAAAAACAAAGTATGGGAAGTTTTTTGTTTTTGTTTTTTTGGGGGGGTGCAGGCGCCATATTAGTCGATGTGATTTGCATACGCAACTGAAGCGATTTGCATACACAAATGATTTGCTAACACGTGCAAGTCAGCCATTACAATCGTGCCCGCGTTCTCACTTGCGTCAGTTTGGCGCGGGGCAAAAAATACAAGCAACAGACGACTTGCAACCATTTTTGTATCCTTTCTTTTTCTTTTTTTTTCTTTTTTTTTTTTTTTTTGACAAGATAAGCTAAACTATAACAAGCCACAATGTCTGAAAACGCTGCATTCATACTCTTCTCTTTTCAGTGGACATTACATTCTAAAAAGTCAATACAATGAACATCACAAGCTAAAAAGTAAATGTACTCGCAGAAATAGACAATTATGCAAAAGATTAGTCTAATACTAGACTACCGGTGACCTGTTGGGTCACTGACAGTACAAGTTATAAAACAATGAAGTTGATTTTAACATTAAAATATTGTCTGTTTGAAGAAAGTTGAAAGAAAAAATACTTACTGTATAAACAACTCGTATTTTTAAATCTTATTGACTTAAAATATTTTAAAATCACATTAACGTAAAAAATACTTTTTAATATGCCAAAAATATTTTAAAATCATAGCCACTTGAAAATATTTTTTTAAATATGGCAAAAAATACTTTTAAATATTTAAAATATTGTTTGTTTAAAGAAGGCTGAAATATAAATAAGCATGTACGAAATCTCAGAGGTGGAAAGAGAGAAGTGAAAAGAGAGAGAGAGGTGGAAAGAAAGAGAGAAGTGGAAAGAGAGAGAGAGGTGGAAAGAAAGAGAGAAGTGGAAAGAGAGAGAGGTGGAAAGAGAGAGAGAAGCGGAAAGAGAGAGAGAAGTGAAGAGAGAGAGAGAGAAGTGGAAAGAGAGAGAAGTGAAAAGAGAGAGGGCGGAAAGAAAGAGAGAAGTGAAAAGAGAGAGAGAGGTGGAAAGAGAGAGAAGTGGAAAGAGAGAGAGAGGTGGAAAGAAAGAGAGAAGTGAAAAGAGAGAGGTGGAAAGAGAGAGAGAAGTGGAAAGAGAGAGAGAAGTGGAAAGAGAGAGAGAAGTGGAAAGAGAGAGAGGGGTGGAAAGATAGAGAGAAGTGAAAAGAGAGAGAGAGGTGGAAGGAAAGAGAGAAGCGGAAAGAGAGAGAGGGGTGGAAAGAGAGAGAGGTGGAAAGAGAGAGAGGTGGAAAAAGCGAGTGGTGAAAAGCGGACATAATGTAACCATTTATGTTCACAATCCGAATGTTAAATTAGGTCACCATCTGAGACGAACAAACACCATTTCCTTTTCTCCCCACTTCCGACACGATAAATTTACCTCTTTCTTTCAACCACTCTCTATATATGACTTCTGGCAAACACACAAGCATAAGAAGATCACAGAGGTTTATAATAATAAAGATACTGGGTACAAATGTGGGGCCCGTGTGCGCATGTTAAATATTACAGTTATATAGAAATGCTTTTCAATATATTTTCTTTCAATCAAGATTTTGAGTCAGCCTTGATTTGAAAATTCAGATTCTCCTCTCCCTTTCATTAAAAAAATTAGTAACATATACGAGGTTTGATCAAAAAGTACCAAGACTTTTGCTATGGTAACGGAGTACGCAGAGTGAAGCCGATTGTCACAGATTGACCTTCGACTCCGTCACGCATACACATTGATTTATAACGTTCTCGCTTGTTGGCAGAAGTTTTTTGAAAGAAAAGTGTGTAGCACGTGGTTGTTTCAACACACCACAGAGGTTCCATCAGTGACCATAGCTTGTGCAGGTAATTTGGTGCCAAGAACAACATTCCCCTTTTCCGACAACCACCATATATCCCCAGATTTGTGTGCAGGACAAGTCATCACGCCAACCGAACACCGCCGATTGAGCGCCGGGACAACTCACAACCCAGACAACTCAGCACCAGAAAAAACGTAACTTTGTTTATAACCGAAGAAAAGTAATTTATTAAGGATTAAAACATTAATTAGTGAATATTTTTCTTCAAATAAGGCATTTGAAAAGGCATTATGTAAAATATAAACCAGTTTTTGTTTTTTATTATGTTTAATAAAGTAAATCGTAAAGAAAATTATTTGTTTAATAAAGTAAATTGACATTTAAAAAAATAATTGAATAAAATACACTTGTTTTTTAATTATTTTTAATAAAGTAAATCGAAAAATGCAAAACAAAATGAAGCCTTTTTTTGTTTTTTAATTATTTTTAATAAAGTAAATCGTTAAAAATTTTATTTTTAAATAAAGTAAGTTGACATTTAAAAAATAATTGAATAAAATACACTTGTTTTTTAATTATTTTTTAATAATGTAAATCGAAAAATGCAAAACAAAATGAAACCTTTTTTGTTTTTAATTATTTTTAATAAAGTAAATCGTAATGTAATTTACCAAATCTCAGTTGAAAGGAACAAAATTTTAAGACGTCAAGGAAATCCAAGAGAATATGACGAGGCAGCTACTCGCTATCCCCAAAAAGTAGTTCCAGCAATGCTTCCACCAATGGAAACGTAGCTGGATAAAGTGAGTGATTTCAGAAGGGTACAAAACTGAAGGAGATTAAATATTGAATTAATATGTGTTGTATTTTTCTTCTTATAGCACCAATCCAGATACATTTTTGATCAAACTTCGCATATATATTCCGAAAGCAAACTTTATTCACACTGTTGCTAATTCGACAGTGAAATAGAAAATTTAGACCTTAGTTCTCCATATATTCATTCCGAAGTTCACCATCGGGAAAACGTCGTGGATACTTCAACAGGCGCTCGCATAAACTCTGAGGAATGCTGATGGAAAAATGCGAAAAGAAAATTAAAAAAATATGGTTGGATTTCACACAAACATGGCGGAATCTCATCTTCATGGATTTGTAATGATAGAAAACTAAATAGATAAAAGTTAACGATTAATAACGAGGAGACCAAAATTCTACCATCTCTAAAAAGAGGTATATATTCAGAACCGTTTTGTCATGAAGTTAGCTAAACAATTAGAAAGCAGGATACAAACAGCATAGTCTAACGAGCGAATCAAATAGAAGAGCTGCTCCCAACTAGGATATAGTGGTGAGCCAATGAGAAGCGAAGTTGCACTTTCGAAGCGGATCTCTGTATATTTATATGACGAGATGGAAAATCAATCTAAATCAGGAGCATTTAATTAATCTTATCCATTCTCTATAACATACGCAGAGCCGAAATACGACACAATCAACCTACACAATCCCAGATAGATACATTCAATACCTATCTCCTTCTACCCTATTTAAAGCGGGTGAATTCTGCATTTGAATACATATATACTTGCTTTCACCTATGTTTTTAAGCGAGCGGTTGATACATTTTAACACATATATACATACATTATGAAATGGACAAAGTCCGACAATTATTTAAGACATTTTTTATGTTTATACGTTCTTTTTATAGATACAAATATTTAAGTAAATGCTCTGTTTATAATAAACAGTATTAACAACATTTACCGTCCTAACGGTTCCGCGTTTGATATAGGTTCGATTCCTGTCAGAGGACGCATATTTTCTATGAAAATTTCTCGGACATTCATAAAAAAATATCTTAAACATACATACATATACATATATCTACATTCTTCTCTCTCTTTCTCTCTCATGGACAAAGACATTTACATTTGAACTCTTGAACCTCCAAATTTCATACTATCCTTCTGTATATATATATATATATATATATATATATATATATATATATTCATGAATTATTCACACAAAAACAAATGCAAAGGTTAATGATTTAATTGGCGAGAAATCCATCGTCGCAAACAATTCAAATAATATACAAAAACCTCCGAATCCGTTATGAATGAAAAGATCCTTGTTTCTATAAATTTCTGCCGCATTAGTTCTTATTTTTACTACAAGCTTTCGTCTGTTCCTACAGACATCTTCAGGTATAGAATAGATGTTGTTCTTGTTTTTCTCTTAGTAATAAGAGGACAACGAAAATATATGTATTGTTGTATCCGAAAATGCTATTGGAAATGAGTTATTGTTTTTGGAGCGTGCAATAGCAACGCTGAGTTTGATTTTAAATTTTTTACAGTTGTGCGTTCATGTACAAATATGGTGATAAACGAATTTTTTACAATACATATATTTTCGTTGTCCTGTTATTACTAAGAGAAAAAACAAGAACAACATCTATTCTATACCTGAAGATCTCTGTAGGAACAGACGAAAGCTTGTAGCAAAAATAAGAACTAATGCGGCAGAAATTTATAGAAACAAGGATCTTTTCATTCATAACGGATTCGGAGGTTTTTGTATATTATTTGAATTGTTTGCGACGATGGATTTCTCGCCAATTAAATCATTAACCTTTGCATTTGTTTTTGTGTGAATAATTCATGAATTTGTAAATTGATTGCACGTTTATCGAAATATATATATATATATATATATATATATATATATATATATATATATATATCGGGTATAACAGCAAAATTGTCAAAATCGTGTAAAAGCAATATTGTCCATTTGTTAGATTAAGCTTTGAACCGTTTTATCTTAGAAATTATTAAAGATATCTTACTGGAATTCTCCGAGATTTTTATAACTCTATTGTACTCTACTTTGAGCAATAAGAATGTATAATTACTCTCCAAGCTTAACAGAAGAATCATGATGAAATCGATCATAAAGGAAAATGACATGTTCATCATTAATTAATCACAGCTAAGGATCGGAAGCTCATGAAGGATTGAAATTAAGTTCATATATATTATTCTAGGATAATTTTCTAACTTATTCAAGATGACCTTCGCCCTCTCTAACCTTCTAACTTTCTGCCCTGGAGTAACAAGTTACCTCACAGGTTTCACATACGATTTCATTTTCAACTTTCTTTTCATTTCTCTTCGAACTGTCCTAGCTGAAACTCCTTTCTCACGTGCCAAATGTTTTATGGATTGAGTTGGATCTTTTTTAATTGATCTATTTAGCTCAAAGTTGAAATGATGATCGCTCTTGCTGTTGTGACCTCCTGATTCAGCTTTTCTCTCTACTCTTCGCCTTTTTTAGACTTATTCACCGTTCTATTGATTGTTCTTGAATGGACTTTAAGGATGGAAGCCAGAGTATGAATATTGGTACCATTACTGAAAGGCCTTAATGATCTTTAGTGGGATTGACAGAAAACGACTTTAACCTGTTCTCTTTCTAGCTGAATAACTCAAAGGTTTTTCAGTGATGCTTACGACAAATGGTGTCAACATAGCTAAACGTCTTATCTGAAATCATGGAAAAAAAGAAACGATATTAAACTATTTGCGGGATGGACAATTATGTTGTAACACGATTTGTACAATTTTGCTGTCACACCCGGTATATATGTTTGTATTATATATATATATATATAAAGACAATATGTAGATAGACAGATATGAAAAGACTGAGATAGATAGATAGATAGATAGATAGATAGATAGATAGATAGATAGATAGATATTGAATTATATAAATATGTATATTGTATATATTAACGCTCTATGTATTTTCTTTTAATCCATACACTAACACAAATATGGTGCTACTCTACATCCAGACCTCACCATAAATTTCAGTGTCGAGATAAATATTGGGAAGTGCTGTGTACAGTGCTTTAAGAACATTTTCCCACGCTTTTCACAGTAGTATATAGTTTTAATTAAATAAATAATGTTATTTCAAATATCCTGTTGTTTTGTTTTTCTGTTTTTTTTTTTTGGTGGGGGGGGGTATTTCATTTTCTTACCGCGCGCCATATTAATCGTTTTTGTCTTCTTGTTTTTTTTCCTTTGTCTTTGTTCCTTTTTTTAATATACAAAAATATCACAAAAATGGTAAAGTTTTAAAATTAAGGATAACAAGTGTTAATGCCCAATTTAACATGACCGTAATTTTGTACAGTACTGCCAAATTTGTGCTGGGGTGTAGTGGATAACGGCTCGGAAATGAGAACTCGGAAAGCTGAGTTCGAATTCCAGTCGGGTTTGTTGGTGGACGGACAGTCGCGTCCCTGGATTATTGCGTACCTCTGATATTTTTTTTAAGTTATCATTTTTTAAAGAGTTTTTTTTTCTTTTTTTTTAGTATAGAAATTTGCCCACCAATACATTCAATTAATCGAAACAAGCAGAAAGGTAATTACCATAAATAAAAAAAAAAAGAGAAAA